ATTTATTAGCACTAATGTGTACTTCTATAAATGAAACTTATTGTTTTTCTTAACTTTCTTCGTGTTTTCTTGTATTTATTTATTTTGTTGTATATATATATATATATTGTCTACACTGCTAACAGAGAGAAAAGTTCTAGAAAAAAAAAATGAAAAATAAAATATTAAATTTAGAAGAGCATATTCATTCGATTTGATCATAGCAAGTATAATGTATTGTATAGGGTATTTGCGCACCTGGAATGTCATGAATTTTGGTATTGAACAAAATTTGTCATGAAATATCATGATTTTAACTATTTTTTTAAAAGAAAATCATGAAAAGTCATGAATTTAGGTCGCTGAAAAATCAGAATTTTGAAATGGAATTTAAAAATACCTCGCCCCCCATATTATGCTGTTCCGAATATCTGAATTTGTAATAAAATCCTCACTCACAGTCATATTTTATTAAAATATAAAATGTTTTTATCATGTTCTTTAAAAGTTATGGTGTTCTTTCAAAAAATGAAAGAAAAAAACATCATTTCTAGATCAAATTGTCTTTTAAACTTCTGTGATTTCAGAATTTTTGCTATTATTTATTTTTCTATTTTTTATTTTATCAATTTAAATTTCTAGCTGAAGCAAGTCAGTCATTGACAAATTTTTTTTAATTCCGAAATGAGAACAGGAAAATCTGGAGTTATTCTATCCTTTCAGATGAACAAAAAAGTATCTTTAGAATATAATTCTACGGAAAAAGATTATTTGCTGTTTTTTTTTTCCAGCTTTTTTATTGCTTTAACCTTTTGTATACTCTCTTTTTTTAAATATAAAATCTTTAAATATGGCGATGCAGAGTATAACTGTTTCAGTTATACCTATCATTTCAATTTATGTTATTATAATGCTTTTTTAAATTTCTTGTGTTTTTGTCAGAGAAAACAGTAACTTCTTTAAGTCATGAAAAATTCTAGGAATTAGTCATGGAAAGTCATGAATTTGAAAATCTAAAATGTTTCAGATACCCTGCATTTATTGTTAATCTCTTTGTATTATCAAAAGTATTTGATATTCTTAAAATGAAGAAATTGCTTATTTACCAAAAGCAAATGTTTATATTTTGAAAAACCATGTTTAACGTCAGCACTTGTTTTTAAAGAACATGTAAAATAGCCGGATTCAATATAAAATTTACGCTAATTTGAGACGAAAAAAATGACTCCCACTAACAAAATGCTCTTTAAATAAAATGTCTATCAGTAGATTGATTGTAAGACACAGTTCCCAGTAGATCACCAAATGTAAACATCAGTGAGCGGGTAGATGACCACTTTGATCAGTCTTTGAAAGGACCGAGTGTGTTGTCTTTGTTAAAACTGCTCTATCGTAAAGTATTTGACTTCCCGCTGAACTTGTCAAGCTACCAAAGTGTGAGACTCATCCGTTCTGTAAAGGATCGAAATTGTGATGCCATGTCTTAGGATTATCCTCAGGATTGTTTCCCAGGCTGTCACCAATAGACCATTGTGTAGCTCCAGTATGACGTAAATAAAGCACTAATAAGACTTAAAATGAAATATATCACTCAAAAGGATTTAAAGGGGGAGGGGAGAAAAAGTCTTTAAAATAAACGAAAATGCAAAAAAAGGTTCTTCATTAAAAAATGCTATTAGAAGTCCTACATGACCTTCCCTTAATGTTTTGAACAGTACAGTGAGCCAAAAAAAATTTATCACTCTCAATGATTGATTGATTTAAGGACACTATAAAATCCTAATTTCCACTGAATTAATAACTCCTCTTGAATTTAATTATGAAATTGAACACAAAAGTACACTTTCTGTCTTATTTCATTACTTTTTTAAACCTACCAAATAATAGGTCTCACCCAGAAATGACGTTTTTTTGTGTGTTTTTCTCTTCAGACACCCCTTATGACATTATCGGGACACACAGATGGTGTCACTGGTGTTCAGTGGATTGACACAAATGAAGTTGTTACCTGTGGACTAGACTGCACTCTCAGAATATGGGATGTGGAACTTGGTGGCTTAAAGTCACAATTGGTGAGTTTAAACTAATATTATAACTATCTCCTTCTTTACTGACAAGACAGCCCTTTGTAGGTCAAGGTCTTCTTTGCATTCTGCTCCTCTTCCATACAAGGGTGTTCAATGTCTTGAAATTTCCATCAACCTTCTGGATGTTAAGAGGTGCATTCGACAAATGTTGCGCCCAAGCAAATCATTCTATTTCTCAATGATTTTACAGGGTGGGTTTATTGTAGCTATCAGGCACTATAAATGGCATATTTATGGACACTATGTCTAACAACTAAAGAAACATACTAAATTAATTGATATGCATAAATTGTTTACAGCTTTTTGTTGAACATTACTCAACATTCTTTTCCATAAGCTTTAATGTAAGTATTCAGGTAATGGATAAAATAATTTTTTCGAAATTCTGATTTTAGGAGCAACAAATAGAAACGAGTGTTTCAGTCTAAGGTCATATTTTTCATGAAATTGTTTTTTTTTTTTTACTTTCTCCCTTGTAGATTTTTTTTATGATTTAATTTAAGTTTTTGATACAGTTTATGCTCTTTAGCATGACCAACCTTCCATTATGCATTAAGTCCTATTTGCTTTTTTCCATCGACGACACAATATGATTTTTTATTTCCATTTGAGTGTCTAACAATTTAGAAAAAGTTTCAAATAAATTATTTGGACCACACACACCTCTTTGAATATTGGAAGTATGACATGACTCCTTTTATCCCTGATCGCCATCATTTATAATCTGTTTCTTTTTAAAGGTTATATGGAATTTATCAATCATACTTTTCTTTGAAAATTCTATTCATTTTTTTTTTTTTTTTTGTGATGTGTGTGGTTTATTTTCAAGTTAAAATGTGCTGTCGTTACAGTTATCTTAATGCATGTTATTTACGAAAATTTTCACCCCTGAACCAGCATATTATTTTAAATTCATTTTGCATTATTATTTTAAAGGGTACTTTTATGTAAATATTAATGACATTTTTATGTAATAGTTTTTTTCTATTTATAGAACATGTAATCAAATTTAAAAAAAAAAAAAAAAAATATTTAATAAATAATTTTTGCAGTAAGTATTTTTTTTAACTTGTTTTTGGAAATGTAATGAATTTTAGAACTGTGTAAGCACTACATTTTACATAGCATAAAACACTGCAGACGTAACTTTATATTTGTATAAACGTTTTTTTATAAACACAGGGTATCTACGCGCCTGTAAAGTCATGGAAATTCATTGATTTTGACCTTGTTCGAAAATTGTCATGGGAAGTTATGATTTTTAATGATAATTACTGAAAAGCCATGGAAACTCCCAGTTAGTCATGGATTTGAGTTATTGGAGCCCTTAATCCTCTTTTGCGATTTGAAAATCCCACATCGCTATTTGTATTTGCATGATTTAAAACTAGCACTTCGTGATATGCATTCGCATGATTTAAAAATCCCACATTGCAATCTTCATTTGTGCAAATTTGTAATAACACATCACAATTTGTATTCACGTGATTTTAAAAAAATGCTCATTGCGATCCATATTTGTGCAATTTTAATGATTGTGTTAACAGGCTGTAATGTAAAATCTGAGAAGACTGATCACCTTTTCTGATTATAAAAGCAATTTGTCCTCACACATTTGTCCTGAAATCCTGGTTAATGATTGCAATAAAAGTATAAATAATTATATAGAAAGTAGAAAGAAAAAGAAAAAAGTTATAAAAAGGCAAATTTTGGACACAAAGAAAAAAAAAAAATTTCTGGATATTTCGCTATTAAAGTGATAAATATGAAAGATAAATAATAAATAAAGCAAAATAAAAACAATACTGAAATCTTGGACTTCAGAATAACATCCACTGTGCCATTTTTTATTTTATTTTGTTTTCAAACAAGATAAACAATACTCAAGTCTAATTTCAGATTTAAACTTTTCCTGTATAGCTGTTTTTTGTATTTTGTGTTTTACATTTTAACTTACACATTTTTTAAAAATGTTAATAAATTTTTATCATCTTTATTGAAGAGTTTACTTAAATGGTGTTATTGTGAGGAATAATACTTGGAGAATCTACTTTGGAGAATAATACTTTGATCTTCAAGAACTGTTAAATCATAAAAACTGTTGAAACTGAAAGTCAAACTTTTAAGTTTGCTGGTAGCGCTACTACAAATTTTTTTCATCAAACACTTTAATTATGTTATTATTTTTACCATGTGTACAAATGTATATTTTTTTATGCTTCATATTACTTTATATCTTGTTAATATTACAAATTTGATTCTTTTCATTTTAATTGGGATTCTATCATAGGGAAAGTTTTGCAAATGGATAATTTTTAAAATTTTTAGATATTAGTTTTAAAAAAATTGGCGAGTGGGGGTGTAACATAAAATGCTTCAATTAATCTTTTTATGTTCTTCTCTGAATATCCTTTTCTATTTTATTTATATAATCGAAACACTTTCTCACACTTTTAAATTTACATCCTGTCCTTAAATCTATTTTTGGCTAAAGTATGCATTTAAAGCAAGATATTTTTCCCTTTGCTCTCTGTGGGAATTGTATCTATCTCTGTGGGAACAAACTATTTGATAAACCAATTGCAATTGCTAAGATTTCCCTAAATTGAAACATTTTGCGGATTTACTTTGCAAGATTTTCCCTAACATAAAATCGAGGAGCACAACTTTTCGTGTGCACTTTTATGACACTCTCTGTCTAATAACACAAGCCTGCGAAATTGAACTTTTGGAAAAATACAAGAGAAGTTCTTGTTAATTTATATGTTATTTGATGCGCTGATTTCGAAAATGACCTTCATTTTTCCCAATCACATCAGGATTTTTTATGAAATCGATATTAATGTTTTTACAAAAATCCTATTTGGAAAGGAATTCTCTCAAACAATTTTGCATGTACTGTCCGGTAACTGTTCTCTTCATTCATTTTGATCTACGTAAAATTTAATCTTGTGAAAGAAAATTGATTTTTGAGCTATCAGCTAATTTTTTAAAAATTAAAATGAATAAAAAATACTGTTACCAGACAGCACAAGTCACCTCTGGTCGAGAAAAAAACAATAAGTTCCTTGCGTTCAAACTTTTTACACCAGATTCTAGAAGAAAATCACCAACATACCATTGTAATTTGTTTTTATTGATATTTTATTGAGATAACTGACGTAAAATTGACGATTGACTAAGAATAACAAATATTGTGTATGTGTATATGAAAGTTTGAAACAAAAAACAAAACAAACAAAAATCAAAACAAGCAAAAAAACAAAAGAGAAAAGTTTCTATTTAAGTACATACTCGTTTTCTTCTGAAACTTATTTTTGATGATCTTCTTTTACGCTTAATCTCAGGTTTATCCCGAGCTATCATCCAACAGTAGTCAGCGAGCATGTTCTTGTCCCATCTTCCTTGATATTTACGCTCCATATCTTTGATATCTTGATGGAACCTTTCCCCTTGCTCTTCGCTGACTGCTCCTAAATTTTCAGGGAAAAAGTCCACATTTGAGTGAAGGAAATGCATTTTTACACTCATGGAGCAACCCAGCGTTTTAAATTTGTCCAGCATTTTCGTTACGATTTCCTTATAATCAGGATCCTTGTAGTTACCCAGAAATTTATTGACGACATCTTTGAAGCAACCCAAGCTTCTTTCTCCGTTTCTGTCTTGTTAGTCTCAAATTCTTTATCCTTCATGAGTTTGCGGATATCTGGACCAACAAATATTCCTTCTTTCAACTTAGCTTGGGATAAACCTGGAAACTTTTTGCAAAGATATTTGAAACAATTGCCATCATTTGGAACAGCCTTGACAAACTGCTTCATTACACCTAATTTTATATGTAGCGGAGGTAACAATACTTTTTTCGGATCAACTAAGCTGTTTCGAATAACGTTCTTTGTGCCTGGGTCAAGATTTTGTCTTTTCGGCCATTCTTTTTTGACCCAATGTTGAGTCTTGTCACGGCTGTCCCACTCACAAATGAAACATGGGTACTTTGTAAATCCCCCTTGTTGACCAAGAAGCATGGAGATAACTTTCAAATCACCTCAAATAGTCCAACTGTGGTCGATATATTTGATTTTGTTCAGGACGAGAGCCAAGTTTTCGTAGCATTCTTTTAAATATACTGAGTGTCCAACTGGTACTGATGCATACTGACTCCCATGATGAAGAAGAACAGCTTTGAGGCTTCTTTTAGAGGAATCTATAAACAGCCTCCACTCATCCTTATCGTAGATGACATTAAATTTGCTCATCAATCCAGGAACATCAGAACAATAGACCAAGTTCTCCTCTTCATCAAAGTACTTAATAAATTCCTTTTCACGATTCCTGTACCAATAAAAAGATGTTCCTTTGGCCAATAAGTTTTTTTCTTTCAGTCTGGAGCCTAACAACTCAGCTGCCTCTTTCGAAAGGCCAAGATCTCTAGTCAGATCATTAAGCTCAACCTGAGAGAAGGGCTGAGGAGAACCGTCTGCGGAAAGCTTATATTCGATATCGGAGCCTTGAACTTCTGGATGCTCCGAATCTGAAGACTCTGAAGAGATGATTGGCAATTCAGTTGGAGGCAAAGGCACAGGCACATCAGGTCCATGAGGAACAGGGCGTATGGCCGATGGAATGTTATCAGGATAAGATATTAGTCTTTGATTTTTTCGGTTATACCCACGAACATGGCAGGAACAAAAATAACAATCATCAAAGTGGTTTTGGGGCTCCCTCCACGTCATAGGAATCCCAAATCGTAAAGTAGTCTTCTTTCCTTGATGCCATAAGCGTAGATCATTGAGACACTGCACACAAACTTTATGAGGTGCCCAAGATTTGTCCTGATCTCCGAGTTTCATGCCAAAATATGCGAGATAAAGTTGTCTTACATAGTCTGTAATGTTCCTCATTCGATTTTTAACAACACAATATTCGCCGCATATATAACAAAAGTCATCTGGGAAATTTTCACAATGTCTCGAACTCGAAGCCATGTTTCACGAAACGCACAGAAAAAAGAAGACTTTAAAATGACTCCCTATTACGCTTGCTAGTGTTTCTGAGAGGTCAGCGAAACTAGATAAGGATTCTCGTGACGCTATTGGTAGAGGGAGATTGTGACAGAGAGAGGGACGGTGACAGGAAGTAGTAATAGAGGGGTACTTTTGTAGATTTGACCAAAGTAGAATGCTGGTCAGTCAAGAAGGGATAGAAATTCAAAAACTTTATTTTTTTTATGGTAAATGTTCATAAAAATTCCAGTAAAATTGAATTTTTCTAATTTTTATGGTAAATGTTCATAAAAATTCCAGTAAAATTGAATTTTTCTAAAAAACGTGACGTGATAGAAATTTTTCATTATTATTTTCCACTTCAGCACCAAAAAATACATTAAGTTCAGCTATCAGACCCTTTGTATTTTTTTCATCGCAGGCCTGTGTAATTAATAAATAATTTTATACCCTCCTTCCCTGCCTAAGACCTGTTTTAATCCTTCCACTCGGCATCGACGTTATATATATATAAGAAGAAAATAAAAGTTTTTATTTTCAACAAATGTGAATTTGTTGTTGGTGAATTAATAGTTTGGAATATTGGTAATTCATAATGTAAAGCAAGCATTAACTTGATACGATGGAAAATAGTAAACTAATAAATATGTCCATTTCGATAGTAAGTTAAATCTAAAGGTGAAATTTTACATTTTGCCCTCATTAGATATGTTTTATTTCTTGTTAAGTTCAGTAATTTAAAACTGTTTGACTTTGTTTGTTAATTTTATATTTCTTCATTAATGCATATTTTGGCCAATTCAAATTTTGATTAATTTAGTTGTTCTTATGTTGTCTTTTAAATAGTTCAGTTTAAAAACTTTTTATTCTAGAATGGATCAAAGGCTTTTCTGGGAATTGCATACTCACCTTTATCCAAGCTGTTAGTTTCTGGGTCATCTGATCGCCATGTTAGGCTATGGGATCCTCGTACTAAAGGTAATTATATTGCATTGTATGGTTTGTTTGTTTTTATTTCTAATGGCAAATTATGAACAGCAGAAAACAAGTAAAAAGGAAGAATACAGAGCACAACGAAGAATGTCTAACATATCTCTAACCTCCCAATAACACTCGGCGAGAAAAGTCTTACCAGAGCAGTGGAGTCTATTTATCTTCAGAGCAGTGGAGTCTATGACCTTTCCGGAGTTGCAAAGAGTGCATATCAGGGAAGGAACAGTTTTGAGCAATGGTTTCTTAGGCAGTCATATCCAGTGGCTAGGCGGAATTCAGCGACTGCTCTCAGAACTTCTTGAATGAAAAAGTCTTTGTAAGCTTACCTCGCAAGATTCTATCTGTTCTTCCATTTCATTGAAATGGGATTGATAAGCTTCTAATTCTTTATCCTTCAAAATTGAATAATAATCCAGTTTTAAAACTTCAATTTCTTGAAGAATTAATCCTATGCTATCGATACGAGATTGCAGTTCGAGACAGTCAGCGTCATTTCCATTTGTAGAAATAAAGCTTTCCAGCCTAGTTATTTTGCTTTTAGAGCTACCACAACAATGATTCAATTGTTTTAAGCTCTTTTCATATTGTTCCTCAGTGTTTGAAGTATCAGTCATTTTTATTAATCAAAAATATGAGTTCCAAAACGAAGTTATGACGAAACGAAAATGAAAGTTGATCAAATTAATATTTTCGAATTATATCAGGTATAAACTCCGGAGAGACAGGAACATGTTGAGGGGGTTGATATGTGGACTGTATTACAATTAATTAAGAACAAACGATAACTATTTAATAATTTATTAATGAAACGATGAAGGACGCCATTTGAAGACGTCCGACTATATCAGAACAAAAAACAACAAGAGCTCTTCTTTACCCCAAATTAAATAGATAAGCGAAGCCAAAGCCGAAAGAGGCTCCAACAGCATGGCAAATATAAAACTGAAAAATTTATTTTGATCAGCAAACAAAATAAAAAATTTAGTGTACCCATTTTGCATATGTTTAATGAAGTTATGTTCTAATAAATTTTTAAAGGATTCATCTTCTTTTCTAACGGAATTTAATTCTGAATAAATTCATTAGCAAATCCACATCTAGTAAATTTATGAATTGTAGTAAATAAAAACATATATATACTTACAATATTTTGAAACTAAAGTAATTAATTAAAATTATTTCACGAAACTAAATGGCTGGAATATTTGCACAAACATTTGTAAATTCTCTTCTGACTGTGTCACATTCTTGCTGCAAATTGCAATTTTTATAAATATTGTTCTATTTATTTTATCGTTTTTCTCAGTTTACACTACCGATTGTTGAGGGGCTTTGTATTTAATTGCAATAGTTTTTTAGAATTAGTTTCCTGAGCAGAATGCATAGTGTCTTATATTATTTATCTCCTTCCATATATTATGTTAATTTTTCAAATTGTCAGTCATATTCTAGGTACAGTATTAAGTTGTGTTTTATTAATTTAGTATGTAATTATAGAATTAAAATTAAACACACAATAAACTATTTTGTAGTAAATTAAACATATTTTACAGATTTTAATCTTTTTTATGTTCTATGCAAATGTAAATAAGCATTTTTAAAGACTTATTTGGTGCCATTCAACATCTTTTGTGATTCGTGTACAAGGAGGGAAGTGTATAAACAATGTTTACATGACTTATTAAAATGTTCTTAAGCAAAATAAAAAATATAACTAACAAAAAAATTATACCCATTAAGATAGGAAAATTTTAAATAAAAGTTCAGTTTAGTGTAACAAAAAGTCGGGAAAAAATTTTCTCTAAAGAGTTTTAGAGGCCACAAAAAGTTCTTTCAGAATATTTTACTTAAAATTTTAAAAAATTAATTAAATCATGAATTTTGTTTTGTAACCATCGTTGAACAGCGACCCAGTTTTTGGGTTTATGACTACTAATGTTCAACTGTGTGGCTTTGTCATTTTGAACTCAATCCAGAAGACAAGGGAACTCCTGGATCGAGAGTAATTTGCCATTGTTGAGGACATTTTGATGAAGCTAACTTGCGTTTATGTTACATGGAGAGAAAGACCGCAAGAACCTTCACGGTTAGCCTGAGGACAAGGGGACTATAACCCATGAATCGTCTACCACTGAGGATATTTCACGTCAGCACTATGGTCGGTGCAGGCTGGATGTGGAATCCCATATCGACCAGACATCGCTTGGATTTGAACACGGTTCACCTCATTGGCAGGTGAAAGCTCTATCCCCTGAGCCATCGTGGCTCTACACCGTTTATTTTAATTTATTCATTAAATTAGGTTACTTTAATAATAGTCGTGGTAAAAGGTATATTGTGACATATGGCAAGGTCGAACAGCCCCTTTACAGTGATTTTAATAATTCATGTATGTATTATAAAAATGACACATTTAAAATTGTGTTTCCCTCATAGATGGAACCCTTGTGAAATGTGTCTTCTCATCTCATAATCTATGGATAACGTCCCTCGCCTGGTCACCCACTGATGAGCATCATTTTGTATCTGGCTCAATGGATTCCATTGTGAAATTATGGGACACAAGAAGGTACATTCTTATTTGCATCCCATCATTATACTTATTTAGATTACCTCTTTGTAAATGAAGAAAATTCTAATGAAAGAGAAACAACTGTTAATCAAGGTTGCTACTCCACAAGGAAAACCTGGAAATATACAGGGAATTTTCTGTCATGGATGATATTTCAGCTATAATAAACTAGTTCATTTACTATAACGTTATTTGTTTTAAGTATGTTCAGCTATTCCTTTTTTAAGTTTTTTCAGCAATTATAACTAGTATAGATAGCGCAGTACAGCTCATACAAGAGCACAGAGATTGTCAGGGGTCGCATTCCCCCTAAAATTACTAAAAGTATGTGCAAACCCTAAAATTCCTAAAAATCTGATAAAATTTTGTTGGTGTTCCTAAAAAATTAGAGTTATAGGCTAAATATAAATAAAAAAGCAATAATCTAAGATATAAGAATTTAACTACATTAATTAAAACTGTTTTAATTTTGCCACATGGTAATTCTGATCCTGAGAGAGGTTTTTCGATAAATAAAGCAATGCTTAATGTGAGTCACCATGAGAATACTATTATGTCTCTTAGACTAATCAAAGATACGATTCGAAATTATGGAGGAGTGTTGAAGATCACCACAACACTATTGAGAGCAGTAAAAGAATATCACAAATCATATCAAGAATATTTTAGAAAAATGATCATGATTAATTTGTTTTTCTCTAACTTCTAATATAAATTGCTGATTTGAAATCTAATAATATCACACAATAGTTTTTCTTAATAAAGTAAGGTAAAGGGTAATAATAAAGTTTTGATTAAGAAGGTAAAAATTAAATAAAAATCCAAGTTGGTGTTAATTTATTTTTTCTCTTGATTTATTCTCACTTTTGCCTGTTCCTGAATTATGCACTTAATTTCTGATAGGTAATATGTAAAGTTGCAATTTCATTTTTACACTTTAGAGATTTCATTCTTGGCTTAATAAATTTCAGAGCTTTATTTTATGGCTTGCAATTATTTATGATATGTGTGGATGAATTGTAATAATCTTCTGTTATGTAATAAACTACTGTGTGATCTGTTTTTATCCTAGCAAAATCATATATTACCCCTAAAATTTACCTAAAATTTTTTGAAAAAGTTCCTAAAATTACCCTAAAATTTTAAAAAACTTTGCTGCTTCCCCTGGATTGTGTTTTCCTTTTAATATATTGTGTATAAATACAATAAATAAATACAATCACTGATTCCACTTGAGTTTATGCTCCTTGGGACACAGAACTTTCTTATTTCTGGGTCCCTACTTAAAATATGAATTCTCTTTACCCATATACGGGGATGAGATTTTTCCGCTTTTTAGCGGATTTCCGCATTTTTCACTTTTATCTCTTAAATTTCAGCTTTTTTATCAAAAATTCAGATTTTTCTAAAAATTTCACTTTTTTTAATAAGTGTTCCGCTTTTTCAGAAAATTCACCGATTTTCAAAGAGAAACAGAAAATTCAATCTACATAGCTACCAATCCTTTCTCATTTTTACTTATTTTAGCTATTTTCTCCCCTTTTACTCGCAGCAGATAAGATTTTCCGAATTTTTTACTCGCCCTCCAGATAGATCCGATTTGTGTAGTTCAAATGACGCTGCTTCTGACAAGCCTTTTAGAGGTCCCAAGCCTGGAATCTGCTAATATCTCGATTCTTATTCACACGATTTTAATATCAAACATAGCTTTTCATATTTGCGTGTTGCGATTCTTATTCACGTGATTTGAATATTGTACGTTGCGATTCTTATTTACGAGATTTAAAAATCTGATATTGTGATTCTTATTCACGCCTTTTTAAAAACCTATGTAGCGATTCGTATTCACGCAAGTTTAAAATTCAATGTCTTGATTTGCTCCTGCGGTTTATAATATCAAACATTGATTTTCATATTTATACGTGATTTTAAAATAAGGCATTGGGATACGCATTCACGCATTCTAAAAATTCATAATTCTTATTTATGCAATCTAAAAATTACGCATCATAATTTGTATTTACGCTATCTAAAAATAATGAATCGTGATTTGTATTTACGTTTTTTAAAAATTCTATATCTCAGTTTTTATTTTCTCATTTTCGAAATCGTATATCTAGTTTCATATTCATGTGATTTCAAAATCCATAATTGTTATTCATATTCACGAAATTTTAAGATCAACTATCGCGCTTCTTGTAAGAAGGAATTTTTTTTTATTTATTAATTAGTTACTATAAAGGTGACTGTTTTTCTAACGACGATTATTAGTATATGTAAGTGTTACAACATCAGAGAAACTGGAAGGGAATATATTCAAAACTTACATTCTGTGCTTGCAAAGAAGAAAAAATAGGATTTGTCACAAGATGTTTAAAGATGGACTAACGACTAAATATAGCAAACATAAAAGACATAGCAAACAAAAGCAATCACTTAAAAAGGGATTTAATTAATTAATTTATTTATTTATTTTGAAAAAGAGTTAATTAACTCATCATCAAAATTTTATTTATAATTGCTGTTATTTATGCTATAAAATGCAAAATTCTTATCAAATAAAAAACAATTATCTAAGCAGTTGCTGATTGTCATGTAATTTTTTTAACTAAAATAGCAATTTTTGTATGCTAAGGAGTTACTATATATTTCTACTTCACTGTTATTGATATGTTTCAAAGGGCTCTAGTTAGATTGGACTATAATATGAACATAATGATTCGGTCCATTGTCAAAGTTTTTCTTCAAATATAATTTAAAAAATAATATTACTGATATATTTGCTATAAATCACATAACAGTGTTTATTAAAAGAAATGAAATATTAATGTATATTCTCAGTTGTTTTAATTGGCTAAACCAGGTAGTTTTTCAAGTAATAATTTCCTCTTATGTGAACTGAGGAAAAATATAATTTCCAGCTTTATTTTTTTCAATTGGTAATTTTTATTTTCACTTAATGTTAAGTATCAATATAATCATTTATATAATAATGAATTAGTGCACAATTGTATGTCAACACATTATTTATAATTACCTTAAACTGTCTGGAATTTATTATTAAAGGGTTGCGCTTGCGGAAAATTTACTATCATGGAAATTCAGCTTTTTTGCCTTTTGGCTAATCTCATCCCTGCATATATATTAATATGCACATTCATAATTAGTAGCTTTTTCTATGTGTGGGACCATTTGTGCATAGAAAATAAAGTAAGGTTTTCTTACGTGCACAACCATTTGGAAATAAAAAAAAAATTATGCTATTCTTCATGCAGAATCACCATTGGTTTAATGTTTATTATTGTCAAAGTGCTTAAAGTTTCATTCTTTTCTGAATGTATCAATTTTTTGATAGCTTGGACTTAGATGGCCCAAAAATGCCCTTAAAAATAAAACTTTAGTAATCCAAAAAAATTTAAATATAAAACAATATTTCTTTTATAAATCTAAATAATATTTCTCCTGGTCATTAAAATCAGCTCTAAATTTTTTGTGAAATGTTTCTGAATGTGTAATTTTTTTTCCTAGCCCCAAAACACCTCTATTTGATATATCTGGACATGAAGATAAAATATTTTCTGTTGACTGGTCTTTGAAAAACTATATCATTAGTGGTGGTGCTGATAATCATGTAAAGCTTTACAAATTTGAGGTTCGTATTTTAACTGATGAGAGTTTTAAAAATATTACTTTTACATGATATTGTGTTCTGTAATAATTGTAATCTTTATTAACTAAAATGAAAAACTTATTACTTTTACATGATGTTGTATAGTAATTGTTATCTTAATTTACTATTATATCCTCATTTAAAATTATCAGATTTTCTTTGTTTCTTGTTGCAATATTTAATGTGAAATTTCCTTGTTTATAAGCTTTAAACATTTTATACCTTAAGCTTTGCCATTAAGCATACTATGTTGCAGAATGATTCAGTAGTGAATGGGTGCATGAATAAAGAAACCATATTTAATAACAAACAAATTAATAATAAAACAATAAATCAATTAATATGAAATGGGGCTCGCCAATGAGCCATCCAGTTCAATCCTGCCACATAAGTGATTACAGAATTATTCTGTGTGATTTCATCGCCCTCTACTGGTCAGGCAGAAATTCGTAACTATACCATTTGAAACCTTTTATAATAAATGAAGGAGCAGATGTTCTCTCCCATCTGAATAATGATTTACCATCTCTGTTGCATAGATAACTCTTGTAGCATTTTTAAAAAATGCTTAAAGGTGCTTATTTTCGATTTTTAAAGCCCTTAAAGGTAATTTCTTTCATTGGGTGTTTTTTTAAAAAATGCTTAATTTTTCCTTTTTTGAAAATGCATTTTTTTTTCTTTACCATGTCGATTTTTGCTGCTTATTATGCAAAAGTGTGGTTTTCTCATTGTTCTATTCAAAGTTATTACAATTCATTCAACCACAATCCATTTCGGTCCGTAGTGTATGAAAGCGACAATCATTTTACATGTTTGATGAAATATTTGAGAGTCTGCGTGTGCATCTACTGAGCTGATTTCGGTGAGATTCATGCACTCTCATGTGCAACTCTGCTGCAGTTTGCAATATATTCTCAATTTTAGGCTTCATTTTCCACCCTCTGATATCAAACCAAAAAACCACTCCATCTCTTTATAGTGGATAATATAATCAAGAAAAGAGTTCTTTGTCAGAAACTAGTTATTTTATCATGATCATGTGAAGTCTTTGAAAATTATTTAGCATTTTATTAATATATATAATGTTTAAAAAAATTTTTTAAACATTATATAAGTGTTTAAAAAGTACTTATAAGGTGCTTATTTATGGTTGAAAAATTTGGTTATGCACCCTGAAAATGATTTGATTCCATTAAATTTTATTCTGATATACAATTAAGTTGGGATGACTGTAATAAATTGTCAGAATTTCTAAACGTGTCTGAAAAAGATAATGAGTCAAAGGGAATTTACTGGACAATATTTTTTAAAAAAAGAAATCAAATTCTTGATAGGTATGAAGTTGTAAAAAAAAATAATAAAAATATATAAATAATCCGTGTATAATTGAAGTAAATTGCATGTCATCGAACATAAGGACATATGTAAAAATGAAAATGCAATAAACAATTAAAACAATTAAATATTAACACCAATAAGATTGCAAAACTTGAGTGATGCTAGTTTAAAAGGAAAATTATTAAGAAAACATTTTTAACTTAAAACATTTATTTATAAAAACATAACATATGAAAAGGAACTAACAAATATGTATACAATTCATATTTAATTTAATTTAATCCTTGTTTATTAAATTAAATCAAATAGAAAAAATAAATAAAAATTAATGCATTTTATCAACAGACAAGCAAAAATAAATAAAGGCTAAAAACATTATATTTTTAATCCTTAACTATAAAATAAATAAATCATCCTAAAATATGAAACAAAACTGTTAGGTAACAAAAATAAAGGAAGATCTTAATAAAGAACTTTTCAACAACTAAGGCATCCTAAAAAAGTAAAAGATATAATAATAAATTAATAAAAATATTATACAAATAATCTATATTTAATTGAAATTAAATCAACTAAGAAAAGTTTTAAAAAAAACAACACTAAAATGTTAAAGAATATTTATTTAAAAAATGAATCTTAAATACGATGGAAAAACATAAAGCACAATGATAAATTGTGAAATTAATTAAAACAAATATTTTTAAGAAAATTATTGAAGTATTTATTGAAAATAAGCTAAAGATTTATTAAAATCACCAAATTAACTAATGTAAAACAAAATTAATAATTAATAAACGCAATATATTTCATATCAAATTATAAGAAAAAAAGAAATTTATAAACTGCAATGATAACTTATTTATCAAATTAAATAAAAACAACACTTAACAATGGAAAACTTGCAAGTGATATAGCATGGGCATCTCAATCCGGATTGATTGTTGAGACATGGCCAAACTAAAGTGGAAAGCCAAACCGTCAAGTATCAATTCCCATAAGTAACACATTTTATATTCTTTCATTTTATATTTCTTACTTAGCACAAGGAGAGGCAAGAAGCCATATACAACCTAAACGAACTAATTATACATGGAAGTTACCAGGTACAGAAAACAAAAATAGATCATGGTTACAATAAAATGCATAAACAAATAATAAATCTAAATTAATTAAAAGACGTAGATGATAAAGAATTATATTTCAACAAATTTGATGTTTTATACTGCGCTGTATTTAATTAACTTCACTTTAATTAACATTCTAACTTATGTGGAGAAACTTGGCCATTTTGCTCATAATGATCAGCTGACAAAAAAGAAGAAAAAAATTATCATTAAATGCATGAATAGGAAGAACTAATTTATTAAGTACTAAATTTATTGGGAACAGGGGGGGGGGGACTCAAAACAATGTGGAATGAGAAATGTATCGCTTGGTAATTAAAGAACACTGCAATCTGCTTCATAAAATATCGTCTTGGCAATAAATAATCTTAGGCTTATAAATAAACAATAATCTTCTTTTTTTTTACTATATACAATTAAAAGGTTCTTAGAGAAAGATAACTATTCAATATAATTTGTCTTTGTACTGTTTTGAATTTATTATTTTATGTAAGCAGCAAATTAACATTCTGTTAGTTGATTGCCTTATATTTTTTTTAAAGAAATCTTTTTTTTTTTTTTGTTATTAGTCTTTTCACTATTGCTATACTCCGTTTCACCTCAAGTTGGCACTTTACAGAAAGGCAGGTAGACCGGATTGCAGCCATTGTCATGGAAAGTGGGTTACTCTTTAAATTAGTTGGGGGCATAAGGTAGCCAAAAAGGACAGAATAAGCTGCCAATATTAACTTTTTAAAAAAACAAAGCTCCAATTTTTTTTTTTTTTTTTAAACCAAGAATCTTATTAAAATTTAAACTAAATACAAAAAAGAATAAGATTTTTTTAGAGCATTTCTAATAATAATTGATTTGAGACACTAATTCTAAGCTGATTTCTTATTATGATTTCTAAAAAACAAATATTCTTATAAATATTTTTTAACTATACGAAACTAATTTTAAACAAGAAATATATTTTTTGTATTAAATCTGGAGTAAAAAAAATTCACAGATGCTTACAAATACTTTTCTTTAGATGTATGCAAACTTTTTTTTTTTTTTAATAGATTTATGTATATTAATTTATCCCACATTCAGTGGGGGAAGAAAAAGTCAACATTGGCATGAAATCATTGATCATGGAAAAGATCATATGTATGTTTTATAATATTTACTGTCCATTTTTTAAATAAAAAAAATCATTCTTTTTCTGAAAAGCTTTTTTTAATTATAAAAGCAATATTTTAATTATATATATTTGCTTCTATGAAACAAAAAAAGTTACCTAAAAAACCTCTCGATGAGAAATCTCTCTATAAAAACTTCTCTATAAGAGAATATTGCTTTTTTCTTTTCTCGGAAGACTATCCTAAATCTTTAAAAATCCGATCTAAGGCTTAATTAATAGCTACAAAAACTAACAACAGATAACTAACAACAACAACAAAAAACAAGTTACAATTTAGTAATTAGCAAAAAAACAACAACAAGGAATCACAAAAAAAATTAACAATTAAAAACAAGCTAACAATAAATAACTATAAAAAAAACAATGAAGCAATGTGAACTGGCTGACCAGTGCGAAAGCATAACCAACGCGCCAATTCTTCGTCCTCTGAAACTAGTTCATTGCCAAACTAAAACGCCTCCTTCTTTGTACCTTCCACTTTTCTGAGAAGACACTTATAAGCTTAATACATTTAAACATGATAAAACTTTTTATTACACAACATTTATTTATATTTATACGTGCATTTAAACTGTAATTAATTCCGAAGTAGCAAAGAACTACTTTCCAAAAGTAGTTCTTTGCTACTTTTCCGTATTGCATTTCCTGCCTATGCCTGTAGTGCCAACTTGAGGTGAAACGAAGTATAGTGTAGTTTAATCATCATGACTTCCATTTATGTTAAATTTTAAAAAAAATCTTTTTTATCACTACAGTCTAAGATATTTATAAGGCACATCTTGTAACATGAGGATTATATAGAATTTAGTGTTTTACAAATCATTAAAATTACCTAACTTAAACATGGAAATATATTTTTGGAAAACATCAATATAAATACTTTACACTACAAATTTATGCACTAAAGTAATTATTTTATGGGGAAAAATTAAATTATTAAGAGCATTAAAAATCAGATATCAGTTTGCTTTACAGAATATAAAGCAGGGGTCTGTCTAGGTTTTTCTGAGAGGTACCTATTTTGTGAAAATTTAAAAATTATATATTAAAAAATTAACACAAAAATATGGATTCATCATTTCGTAAGGAATGCAAAAATTAAAATAAAATTTTAAGAAAAAGTATTTTGTGAGACTACCGTTTTTCCTACAGTTGAATTTATAAAACTACCATTTTTCCTGAAGTTGAATTTGTTACTACCGTTAAACGGTAGTAAATTCAGCCTGTACAAGCCCCTGTAAAGTCATGCAATATATGGACAATACGTATCAGTTTATAGATCTCCCTTTACATAAAGATAAATTTATCTATCACCTATATATTATTTTTTTTTCAATGACCCAAATATTTTGGATCATCGAAAGTCCTAAGGTATTCGTTGTCGAATTTTTTTCATTGTTTTAAATAAATATTACTTTTAGTCCTAATTCATATTATTGTCTATTTTAGGAAACAAGAAACAGTACAGGTCATGGTTCACAAATTGATCCAATGGAAACCTAGTACTTATAAATATTTATTTGTAATAACTGTAAATAAATTGTTGTATTTTTCAAATTTTGTGCAATTATTGTTTTTGTTTAGTGTTAGCACAAGTAAACTGACAATGGATATTTACTCTACTCAATAGTATTTTTATAGTATATCGGTAGAATGGGAGAAATACTACTTTTATGATTAAATGATTTTCAGAAAAGACGAGGGGAAAAAAGAGACCACTTGCTTACTTAAGTCACTACTATTTCTTATTGATTAGCCAAGGGACCATGATTTTCCACCAATTTCACCACTAACCCATATGGTTTTTCAGCTCTATTTATAAATATGTTCATCATACTAGGAATCTGATTAATAATATAGGAAAGGAAGGGGTTAGTGTATGTGGACAAAAAGAATATTTTTATTATTTAATACTCAAAAATTCTCTACAAATTATAGCAAATCTAAATTTCACTTTCCTAAGTAGTTACAAGACAAAACATGACACTTTTAAGTAACAAATAAAATATGCTGCCTTTCGGTTGGAAACCGGACACGACTGCCTTGCCGCTCACCTTCATAGACTTGAAATCTTTCCTGATCCAAACTGTGTTTTGTGCAGAGAGGACTCCTCAATGAATACTGAGTTTGTCCCACAGTTATTGGCAACATCTAGGACAGGTTACTGGAATGCTAGGGAACAGTTGCTAGGCTGCCATTTGCGACTAAATAGACTATTTTAAAGCAATTATTTTAGTTGAAATATGAGTAAAAGCAACTAATTTGCAATGATTTGCATAAAATTTGTGACTCTTTTTAAGCCAATTAGCGACTAAAATGAAGATAGCTTCATGATTCTTCCCACACTTTTTTTGCCGCTCTTTCGTTTTATCCAAATTTTATTCTTCCTCACTGTTTGATGTCAAAAGCAAGACAGGCATGTTTAACCAATCAGACTAATGGAATTGAAATTCGCACTATGTGAATGGCATTCACATGGTGCGAATTTCAATGCTCCTCCTGCTTCAGGAAGCTAATGTAATAGCAAAATTAAAAAAATTGTCTATAATTTCACAAAATGTGTAGTTAATTTTTAGAGCGATTTAGAATAGAAAAAATGGTACATGGTGATATTCGTTTTGTCGAATTGAGATCGTAATTTTTTTTATAAGCTTTAAATTTGGAAATGCGTCAGTTATGAAAAATAAACACTTGATAGATGAATTAAATTGCAATATTTCTTTTTTTTTAATGTCTAAACTAAGCGGCTGCAAATTAGAACCGAGAATGGAAATTCGAGTTTCAAATTCACCTGTTCTGTAGCAGATAAAAATAAAACTCCCTGTTTTTATGCATAGTGTGAAAGAATAAGGGTCCAGCAATTAATTACAATTTCGGATCGGTTTGTTTTGATGTTTGGTTAGATATGGAATATTAAGTTTGCAGGGACCACAGACCTCCTATTTCATGTTTGACTGGAATGGAGTAGAAAAAAAATCGCACAGCTTTAGATTGATACACGCGTTTTTCCTTCTGAATTCGATTATTGTTTCAGCAAAATGTTGAAGCCAAAGTTAAACTCTAGATAATATTAATAATCCTGAACCAGAATCACGGCGACATAGTTTCAGAATGTTAAGAGTTTTTGCAGAATAATTTTTTCTTTAGGAAGTAAAAAAATTTTAATTTTTTTTTCTCATCAGGATTATATTTAAAAATTCATTTATATGCAGAAACACTATCGTGCTGCTTTCGATTATTTAATCAAGAAAACTTATTTGTATTCCAGAAATTTTTTATTTTATTTAAAATGTTTTCAACCAGATGAAATCGCCAAACCAAACAGCTTGAATTGCGCTTGTGAAATTGCTAAGTGTCTTACCTTTCTTGATATTGAAGATTTACAAATCACAGATGAATGGCTAATTTTGCAGTCTCAGCTGGTAGAAGCCAATCATTGAATAAATAAAATACGAATAGATCATTTTTGAAGAGAGATTATTTATGAAAAAAATTCAACAGGAAAAGTTAAATATCCTACTCTCGGACTTTTTGTTAAAGTTAGTCTGGCTTTATCTCACGGCAATAGCGATGATGTATCTCTCCAGGGTACTTTCTCAAGAGAAAGCATCACTGTCTGAGAAAATGTTAAATGCTAGGCTTAATATAAAATATGGTATACAGACAGAAATTTAAAAATGTTTCACAAGTATCAATTGCAAGAAAACTTTTAATCTTAACTTATAATGCCTGTAATTCGTATTTTGCATATTTTTTAGAAGAACAGAAAAAGAAAAGAAAAAATCGAAAATATTGAACGAAGGAGTAGCGAGAAAAAAAGAAGGGATTAACAGTCTTGAAAAAAAAAAGGCTCAAGTTTTTAATGGATGAGTCGCATTAACATTAAGAGATGCAGTCGCAAGGGCGGATCCAGAAATTTTTCCTGGGGGGGGGGCGTAGACTCAGAATCCCCTCCCCCCACAGTTAATTTTTTTCATACTTTTTTTTTTTAAATACTTTTTTGAAGAAAAAAAAATCTGGGGTTTTTAATGCTAGTCTTCTCATTTATTTTTTTCATAATGAACAATACATAAGTAATTCAAGTATTCAAAATCGTTAAATAATAAATGTAATGCGTATTAGAAACTATGGCAAATCTGTCAATGATTTTTTCAACATCCAAATCAATTTCTCAATGAATGTTTAATAATGCGAGTCCATTTAATCGTTCTTGGTTTTGAGTTGCTCTAAGCCAAGTTTTGAGGCATCTAGATTTTAGTTACGAGTTTCACAAGTTTCCCATCTTCACCTTTATACAAACTTTGGTTAAACCTGTTGGAGCTCTTCAACATTATTAAAAGTTAGAATGAAACTATGACGAATTTCGTTTTAATCTTTGATTATGATTCTTGAAACAGTGAAGAACATAATTAGATGGAGAGAAAAAAATCGATTATTCCGACCTACCTAGATGTATATGCCCCCTTAAATAATTTTTAAAATATTTTATTTCTTTTGTAAACTATTAAAAAGTTTTTCTTTTTTTCAAATTTTGGGGGGCCAAACTGGATCCGCCACTGTGCAGTCGTCAGTAGACTCTTTACTTAAAGAAGGAAATGAGCGTTTAAAAGATACCATTAAAAAGAAAATGATAATGTTCAAATAAGAATTGCTCATGGATTATTGGAAGCTGCTGAAATATTACTAGTAACAGAGAGAGAACATGAAATTGAATTGGTTAAAATTAATAAACTTGTTCATAAAAGGAAAACAAATTTAATGAAGTTCTATACTAAAAGCACCAAGAAAATGTTAAAAAAATAATAATTTTCACATTTTATACAACCCTGTGTGTTTTTTTTCCACTTCATTTTCAATCATAAAATTCTTAATTTATTTATACCTATATAATAATTTTCCTTTCATATTATTGTTTAAAATTATTTAAGTACTTTTAAAATGCAGATTTTGTTTATTATGTGGTAAATTTTTATTTTTATAGTAAGGTTTAAAAAATTTATATATGAAAGTAAATGTCATTTCTACTTCATTTTTTTTATAATGCCTAAAATTTTTAGTCCCTAGCATTTTTTTTTTCAATTCAAGTATTGCTTCTTATATGATATCTGAGGCTTTATACCTCATAACGAATAAAACTAAAAATAGATATTTTTAAAATGTTTAAAAGTTTTCTACAGCAGTTCCTTCAGCATTCCTTTATCTCTCTATATGTTGTTGGCACAAATAAATGTACATTTTTATTAAATATGAGTATCTAACTGCATGTTATTTTAATTTTATACTATTACAGCACAAATAATTGTTAGAGGAGGATATGATGTTGGCAACTATTTTATATATCTTGGAGACTATTAATAGGAGACTTTTTTTTCATATATGATGCAACTATTTTTCTTGTTTTAATCCAGTGGCAGCCCTGGCACTGCTGACTGATTTTCTGTTAATATTTCTATTGTTGATATTCTATTTAATGTTTCTTTGTTCTAATTCTTTTTGTATTTCGAATGTTTTTTTATTTGTTGTTATTCCTATGGGTCTGGGCGGAGTGTTTTTACACTCCAGCATAAGATGTGCAGATCAAATGCTGCTACTAGAAATAAAAAAAACAAATAAAATAAGGTTTTTATAGTGGAAAGGTATAAGCAGTACTCCAATTATGAAACTTTCATTTTTAACAATAGAATGTATGTTGAAAATAAAAATATACTTATTACTAGAGCCCGGATTTTGATGACCTAAAAAATCTCAACTAATGCCCTTAAAAAGTGCAAAAAATGCCCTTAAAAATCCAAAAATTGCGCAAAAAATATCTTAAATAAAGTAAAAATATTGAATTAAAAAAATGCTTTGCTCTTTAAAATTATTATGAGTCATTTAAAAAATATAAAGCAATGCAATACTTGTTCTGCGTTCATTAAAGTTTGAAAAATTTGTTTTATATCCTAAAATAACAAAAAAAGGAAAATATATTGACACCAAAATATTTTTATTTTGTATAGAAACTTTAATGGATATAACAACTTCCATCTCATAATATTACTAAATATCAGAATTACATTGGATTATTAAATGCTTTTTGATAATTTGAAATGTAAACGAGCGTCTCTTGCCTGAAAGTAAATTTTCATTCCTGCAGAAGCTTCTTTCAACGTCTACTGAGGTTACAGGTGCGTACTTGAAAAAGACAGTCTCACTTACTGATAATTCTTCTTCAATTTGAAAAGATTTTGCTTCACCTGTTAATATTCTATAGATTTTCTTCATTGTTTGGAAGTCAGTGTAATAATGAAAACTGATAAAAAATAAGAAAAATTGGAAAAAATTAACAAAAAACTTTAAAAAAATGCATTAAAATGCAAAATACGCCCCAAAATTTAAAGAAAAATGCCCTATAAATCTAAAAAAAATGCTCTAAAAGACAAAAAATGCAAATGTCATCAAAATCCGGGCCTTACTTATTACATATTTGAATTGCCATTTTTGATAGACTTTTTCTTTTTGCTAACAGATCTTAAATGAATAAATATTGTAGACTAGTCAATATCAAGGTTCTTGTCTTATGGAATTTTCCTTTTCTATGATAGTTCAGCATACAAATATATTTTCTTTACAAAATACAGGGCTTCTGTTTTATCTAGAGTTTTGAAATCACACAAATGCGGATCGTGATGAGGGAGTTTTCAATCATACGAATGCTGATCACGATGTGAAAACCATGACTTTTCATGAAAATTTTCGATCACGGTCGAAATCAATGAATTTCCATGACTTTGGAGGTAGGTGGATACCCTGAAAATAATACATACCACAAGTGTATTAAAACGATCAAACTTTATCTCACATCCATTTATACTATTAGATTTTTCTAAACCAACACACTGACTAAGCTTTCTGTTATAAAAATGCGTGCTAACACATCTTCTATTAAGGTATTTATTGACTATATTAAATTATTTTCTATAGAGTATTAATTAATTTATTTCTCGTAAAACTGAAAATTTATGAAAAATTAATACATGTTCTAATACCTCCAGGAGAAAAGTTTTCATTAAATATGTTGGCCTTTGCTGATGACATTGACATTATTGCAAGAACACCCATAGCACTAAGACAGGCTTATATTTCTTTAGAGAAAGCGGCTGTCAAGATGGGCCTCAGAATAAACGAAAATAAAACTAAATTTTGCCCTGTACTGAAACAAGCTTCAATAACAACCACTTAGAAATTGAAGAATATAATTTTGAGGTTGTTGACAATTTCGTTTACTTGAGTTCTGTAATCAACAACAGGAACAATACTACAATGGAAATGTTGGAACTTCTGAAGTTCTAATAATGCCTCTCAACTGACATTCAATGTTTATTCGCTTCGCTACTTAAAACAAAAATTCTATAGAATTGGCGAAATAAGAATTCTTTCCTGCTATGTAAAAAGTACACTTTAAATGCAGCCCACTTTTTTGAGTGTGTGTATAATTCTGTTATTAAATATACATTAATTAACACTTACAAACCAGAGAGATCCCAACAATATTTATAAAGAAATCGTTTAAGAACAATTGTGATGTGTCTTATATGTTTGTTAAAACTGTTTCAGCAGGGTGCCTAGCCAAATCTTTCAACAAACCTTTTAAAGACTATATACATTACCAAAATGCAAAATAATTTTCAAAGATAAAATAGCTAGTTTTTGACAAAGAACTCTTTACTTGATTACATTAGCCATTAAAGAGATTTTTCAATTCGATTTCAGAGGGTGAAGCTTGAAATCGAGAATATCTTGCAAAATGCAGCAGAGTTGCGAGTGCAATAATTTCACTGCACCCAGCTCACTATGCGCACATGCGGAAGTATTTCATCAAATGTGAAAAATGATTGGCACTTTCATACACTAAGGACCCACAGTACACCGAAATGGATTGTGAAAAAGTTGACAAAGCACGCTTTTGCAAGATACGCGTAGCGAAAATTGGCATGATAAAGAAGAAAAAAAAACTCATTTTCGAAGCAGTTTAATTCCCCATGAAAAAAATATCTTTAAGGGCTTTTAAAAAACGAAATAAAGCTATTTTTAAAAACGCTACGCACCATAAGTCATAGAGATTGAACTAATTTTAAATTAATTTTATAAAATTAAAAAGCAAATGAAAACCCATACAGTTTGCTGCCTTGTTACACCTGTCCGTTATATAATTAGAAAACAAAATATGGAAAACAAGTTGACATATTCCACACAAAAAAAAAAAATTCATAACTTACTAATTACCAGTCAAACTGAGAGCAGTTGGTATTAATATGCAAATTAAGCTTTATCGTTAATTAAAATAACTTTGTTAAGATTATTTACTAAGATCAAAATTTTTAGACTAAGAATAGTGTATTTTGCTGCATTCTTTCTCTTAATTGGTAAAAAATAGATTAAATAAATGTTTTAATAACTTGTTCATCCATACTAGTCCCACATGATAAAAGTTTAGAGAGGACAAAAAACAAACTAAAAAAAAAAAAACTATTTGTTGAAAAAATAATAAAATTATATTATTAATTTATTACATCAATATGAGCTTAAATATATTTGATTTCATTTCCACTGTGACCCCAAATTCCCCCTCATTACATTTGACAACAGAAAAATTTAATGAATTAAGTTTTTTTCTTTTTAATATAATCAAAGAGTACTAAAATTCAGAAACTACTAATCAGATAGAACGGAAATCAAAAAGGAAAAAAAAAAAAAAAAGAAGAGGAGGAATTCCATGGAAGAGTGGTACGTTTTAAGTACTAGTACTAAGTTCTTCATTTTATTTTATAACCGTTGTTGAACAGCCGACCTAATTTTTTTTAATTTACAACTATTAATGTTCAACTCCATAGCATTGTAATTTTGAACCCAATCCAGAAGACAAGGGAACTCCTGGTTCAATTATTGAGAGAAATTTGCTTTTGTGGAGGACTTTTAGATAGAGCTAACCCTAATTTGCATTAGATGGAGAGGAAAAACACGAGAACCTTCCATGGTTAACCTGACTGCAAGGGGACATGATCTGCCTACCACTGAGGATTATTTCACGTCAGCACTGTGGTGAGTGGCCAGCATGAATCAACCAGCCATTGCCAGGATTCAAATCCAGTTCAACTTATAACACTCCATCCCCTGAGCCGTCACGGATCAGCCAGCACATTGTCACATTTATCAAACAGCACTAATAATTTAGATACAACTGAAATTGGCATGAATAAATTATATTTTATTTACAGGTCAGGATGAGCATAACAATGTCATGTTTCCATCTCATTCTCAGAATCACTACAGCTTGCCCAGTCATTCTCTTCATCATCTTCTTCATCCAAAGGAACAATAGATTTTAATTCATCTAAGAGTTCATGAATGTGGGCAACATAATCAACATCTTCCATCCCAGTTTTAATGCTCACCTACAAAATATCAATCATTTATTTACTTTTTTTAGATTACTGTTGAAAGAATGATAAGATAAAAAAGATCAGATTTGCGATGAAGTCGGCACAAATAAAGGACACATTTAAATGCACGATTCGAGTGGCGTATAAATACATATTAAAAATATCAGGACTTTCAAAACCAAGTAGAAATACATAGTGTCGAAAAACTGTAGCTTCGATTTACGATAAAATTGACACAAATAAAGAACTTCAAAAGTGATTACTGTTTGCACTATTCTAGAGTTGCGAGTCGCTTGAGTATTTTTTAATAAAGATCAGGATTTTAAGAAACTTGTAGAAATTCGACAATAATCTCCGAAAACGGGATTGAAAAGCCACTTGGATTTACTATGAAATGGAGACAAATTAAGAGCTTCAAAGGTGATTATAAATTCGAAATTCACGCATCATAATTTGTTTGTATTAAAATATTGGGATTTTTAAAACTTAGAAACTCATAGTGACAATCACCAGAAAAGTGATCGATTGAAAAACTACATTAAGAGTTGGTGCGTCAAATACTTAAATGCGTATTTCAAAATTTTCAATTTCATTTTTAAATTCCAGAAGTTTTTTTTTTAAATAAATGTCCAGGTGCTATCACGTGCCTCCCATCCAGAGCTAGAGGACCGTTAAGTTTTTCACTCCGCAAGTTGATGCCCCCCCCCTCCTGAGCCACAAGAATTGCGCGTTTTTTTATTTATACCACTGATCACAATCATCCCAAATAAGGAATCAAAATCAGATTAAATAAATTGGCGAAAAGATATTCTTTAAATTGTCTTTAAGTTTTACTAGACAAATAAAGTAGGGCCCAGCTCTTGATTCCACATATGCTGCGATTCTCCTTGATACTGACATAAGATTTTAATGACATTCTTTCCCCCCCCCCCACTTAAATATGAATTTTTTCATTTTTTTTGTTATTTCAGGAAGAGCATAAGTCAATATTTTCCAGAACATAAGTTAAAATATTTGCAGGCAGAGGTGGTGTAGAAAAGAAATGTAGTCCCATTAAAACTAAACACATTATTAGGAATTTATCGGCTATAGGGAAAATGAAACCAAGTTCACAAATACACAGGAACAATGCCGAATTCTGTTAAACACAGGTCTCCTACAGGTAATAGGCATAGGTGCATCAAATACAACACTATCGCAATCACTAAGAATAACAATACGTTACAAATACGATTATAATATGGCAATCATTATTGTTAATTGTAATTCTTGAATAAGGTAATATGGCAAAAATTATTATCAGCTACAATTCTCAAATGTGATAATATGGTGTCAGACTACGAATTTCAAGGAACAAGGTTGAAGTAAGAAGAACAGGAAAAATTAAAAGGACTACATTGATAAAGGAGGGGATGTTTTAGATTTTTAAGCTCTGAAAAAAAGGATGTTTTCTTTCTCTTTTAGTTTATTTTGAACATTTAAAAAAAAAATTAAAGATAAATTAACATATTAATGTGTATTTACTAAATTCTGAGAATTCAATATATTAGAGTAAAAATCATATGTATGTCTAATTTAAAGGGCAAAAATAACTACCGGCAGATTAACTATAACAAATGGATTATTGAAAAATTCTTTGCCACTTTTTTTTGTTGAAAATACACTGCGCACTTTATTATTTTTTTTTAAAAAATAAATATGGAATTAGTATTATGAATATTTTATACCATTCTAAAAATAAATTTTTCTTCTTGTATGTTTCTTAAAATTTTCTTCATTTTAAAAAAGAATCTTGTAAGGTTTACCATGTTTTGAGAAATGTTTCAAACGAAATGCCTTACATTATTATTAATAATTTTTTTCAATTGATTAAAATTTCAAGTTTCGAAAAAGTGGCTACCGTTAAAAATGCTACAACTGGCCACTAGCAAAATTAAGCTTTAAAATTATTTTCAATTGAATTGTTTTGCAAAACTTAATTGATATTTAAATAAAAAAAATAAATAACCTAAATATATCTAAAAAACATTTAACATATATATCTATATACAGCATAGGACCCCAAATCAGGCATTCACAGGACAGATGAAAATCCGTATTTCGCATTTCGGAATTTTCCGAATTGCGGATCTCTTTCGGAAATTCCAATATGGCGCCCGTATATTATAATAATTCAACTATACTGTTAATTTCAGAAAAACCAATAAATTTAGTTAAGTTTTGATCGTAGATTATGATGGGGTGAATTTAGAAATGTCCCATCGTAAGAAATTTTATTAATTAAAATAATAATCTATATAATAGACATAATATATATATTTTAAATACTCACTATTTCGATGTAGTAGCTGGAAATTTAACGATTAATAATGTAAATTTAAAAGGACAAAAGAAATAAATACTTGTTTTTTAAATGCCATTATTTTTTTATTACTGGATTTAAACATATCGCCAACTTTTAATAGTTTTAAATGTTTAAGCTGTTCCTTCAACAAAATTTCTTGAATTTTATACACAGATAAAATGTCATGTTACTTAAAGAATGACTTCTGCTCCATTCCTTTTATCAATTCCTTGGTTAACTCCATACAACGTTCAATTTAAATTTTTTTCGTTTCCTCAATATTTTCTTCTTCAGAATCTTCATCGCTATTTTCTTTGTCTAAAGCGACATTAATGATTTCTTCCTCTGTCAATTGCAGTCTTCAATCACGTTTTTGTCAAGAACATTTTCTATTTTGCTTGAAGTGACGTAATCTAAAAGTTCTTGAATCATTTCATTTTCGGGAGAAATCCAAAATCCGTCAAATTCTTGTACTTCGCTTTCGCCCTCGATGAAAATGGAAGAGGGCCACGAACGATGTCACACATTGATAAGGGTTTCTTGCTTGACATGCATTTGCAATGCTCCATAAAGCATCTTTTAGGTTGAAACTTTTTTAAAAAGTTTGGATGGTGCCGCAGGAACAGCAGTCGTTAAGGTAGTTTCGGATGAAATCCCTTTTATAGAAACATTTTAATGAATTCAAAATACCTTGGTCCATGGGTTGTATTAAAGATGTGCAGCTCGGGAGTAAAAATATGACTCATACGTTATCCTTTTCAAGCACCTCAGCATTTGGATGAACTGAACAATCGTCCAACACGAGCAATATTTTGGAATCATCTGGTGAACCTACAGATTTGATTTCAGTGAGAAAGTGATCGCTAAAAGAGTTCGTAAAAATATCCTGGCATGCTTATTGCTCTTATAAATAACGGAAATATCTTTGTATTTTTTAGGGCTCTAGGGTTAGCACTTTTACCCACAACTAGTAATTTACACTTATGTGTCACATTGCTACATCCAAGAACAGTAATTCTTTCTTTAAAATATTTCACCAAAGAAGGGGCACTTTCTTCTGGTGCAACATACGTTTTTCTAGAGATGTATTTCCAAAACAACCCAAGGGCGAGGGGAGTTCCTGTGCAACTAAGGCACGCACCTCCGATCGAGAGAAAAAATGGAAAAAATAAAAGTAGCTGGGACTGTTAATCGAGGAAATTAAGGTGAGAATTACAATATAAAATAATTGGGGAGAAGTCTAACTGGTACAGATTTTGGATTTTAAAATCGCGTGAACATGAATCGTGAGGTTGGATTTTAAAATCGCGTGAATATGAATCGCGATTGTGTATTTTAAAATCCCGTGAATACGAATCCCGCTGTTGGGTTTTAAAAGCACGAAAATATAAACACGACATTGGATTTAAAAATTGCATGAATATGAATCATGATATTGGATTTTAAAATCGCGTAAATAGGAATCGCGATTTTAGATATTAAAATCGCGTGAATATGAATCACGATATTGGATTTAAAAATTGCATGAATATGAATTGTTGGGTTTCAAAGACACGATATTGGATTTTAAAATCGCGTGAATATGAATCACGATATTGGATTTTAAAATCGTGTGAATATGAATCGCGATTCTGGATTTTAAAATCGCGTGAATATGAATCGTGCTGTTGGATTTTAAAAACTCGAAAATACAAATTGCGATATTGAATTTTTAAATCACGTAAATAAAAATCACGATGCATAACTTTTAGATCACGTGAATACGAATCGCAATGAGTAATATTTAAATAGCTTACAAATACGAAAAACGATATCTGATATTACAACTGTCTGATAACGAATCGTAATATTGGATTTAAAAATGCGTGAATACGAATCGCGACGTTGGATTTTAAACTGCAGAATACAAATCGCGATAGTGGGTTTCTAAATTGAGCGAATAGGAATTGCTAGTACGATTTTTTAATTGCGTAAAAAAATACCAACTCGTAAGTTTTAAATCAGTTAAATACGAAAATCGATGATTGATATTTAAATCGCTTGATTAAGAATCGCGATGTTAGCAGATTCCGGCGCATTTCCTAATATTTAAAATTCCGAAAATAAACAAAAAAAAAAAAAAAAAATAAAAAAAAANTCGGCGGTCGAAACGAAACGCTTAGACTCCTTTCCACTCTATAGCGGAAGTCGCGGTAATCCGACTATCGTTCGGGCGGCCTGTGTTTCTCTAATTGGACTTCCCAAAAATTTTAGTTTTTGGAACATGTTCGGAAATTTTAAAAATTGGGAGAAAAAAGTCTTTCATTCCTGATATTTATTAAATTCTTTTTTATTGAGAAAACAAAAGAGGGAGGTTACAAAGTTGAGGGGTACATTAAATAAAAACAGTAATGTGGGAGTCACTGGTTAACAAAATAAGTGACGAGAAATACGTTATAATATAGAGATATAATACAAACAAAAGTACAATAGTAAAATAAGAACAGTACAAGAGATAATAAAAGTGCATATTACAATATAATTTGTGTTATTATAACTATAAAAAGAGTGGAAAATGTAATAAACGATTATAATATGGCAATCATTATTGTTAATTGTAATTCTTGAATAAGGTAATATGGCAAAAATTATTATCAGCTACAATTCTCAAATGTGATAATATGGTGTC